ACTACTTCCAAAAACATTCAGCTTTGATATTAATGAGTTTTTTGGGTTCATTGAGAACATGGTTGTTGTTCAGTAATACAATTATTCCTCAAAAATACAACTTGCCTAATAATTCTGCACTCCCTGTATAAAGTATTTTATGAATTTAAAAAATGCCCTAGATGGAAGAAATTAAAGTAGACTTGATGGGTCGTCAAAACCTGAATTTTACAGTGTTTACTTATCTGACAAAGATAAGTTAAGTTAAGTAGCTGTCCAATACCTTTGCAACAGATGGTATTGATGGTTTAATAGAACCATCCTATACAACAACAGATACAGGTATATACATAAACACACGACTGGGGATACTCTTCCCTAACTATAACAATATCCATAACAATAACACTCCTCTACACGTGGTTGCATTTGAAGGTGCAATGCTTCGCAGCGAAGCAGCAGAAGAAAACAGCAGAATCTTCTGTTGTCAGGCTCTTCATTTCAAGGTACTGTCTGCTGCTGGAGTCTTTGAAAAGAACTGGAATATTTAGCAGAGTTTGAGCCTGTTTTCCTCCTACCAATCCAATCCAGCTTTTCAGGTCATAACCAGATATGATACATGACATCTTCACTCTCTCTCCAGGTCTTTTCACCTCAGAGGGACCCTGCTCCGGTTTGATCTCACTCCAAACTCCTGTAGGAAAGAAAGGAGAAAGTTGTCTTCAGTGTTTTAAAGTATAACCAATTTTCTAACCATGGAAACAATGAATAAAGAATAACTCATTAAACTTTAAAGTATTTTAGTAAGCTGAGAAAGAAAAAAAACATATCAGTTATAGTCTGCTTTTACTCTAATATCTAATAATCTGTTGTGTTTTGTATACAGTTCTAAAACAGCTGTGTTTAAAAAAAAGTATTGCTCTGAATAAAGTTAACTTTATCATCAACTTCACACTATTTTTTTTAAGCATTAAGAGTATATCACTCTAAACTGAACACATCACTTGATTCAGGATTTGTTGGTCTCCAAACTGTTTTAAGGGTCAGCTATGGCTCAGATAGTGGCTGAAGTTTAAAAAGTAATTAAACTAGTTTAATTTCTTAATAATGCTACAGGCTATTAAAGTCTAAGTTATTTATATTAAATTGGAACTTTTAAAGATTAAACTTGTGTGATGCCATTTCTTAGAGAAACTCTTGAATATCACATTTTTATGGGCCTCCTCTCCCTAAATCCTTTACTGAACTGGGGACATCCGTTGCTACTCAGACTGTTTTATCAGGTATCAGCAGTAAATTTTCGTGTGTGCTCCTTAGTGAAGATAATTGTACAGTGTCACAGCTTAAATTTCTTATAAGATAGAAAATGGTGTGTCATTTTATATATATATATGTTATACTTTCTTGAGTGTGAATGATTTCGCTACACTAAAGTAAACCTGAAGGATTTTTTACAGCTGCTAAATTAACTCCTATCACTGTGTCCGTCGAGTACAATAATAAACAGCAGAATCTTCAGTCTTCAGGCTGTTCATCTGCAGAAACAGCTGTTCTCTGCTGTTGTCTCTGGAGGCAGTAAACCTGCCTTGTACTGACTGAGAGTAGAAGTTGGTGCCACCATCAGTATCAGTTGCAATCCACTCCAGTCCTTTCCCAGGAGCCTGTGTGATCCAGGACATCCAGTTGCTACTGAATGAGAGTCCAGAGGTGGTACAGGAGAGTCTGTGAGACTCTCCAGGTTATGTAACAACTGGTTCAGATTGTGTCAGAGTCTGGGCATGAACTGTTAAATCGGAACCAAATGAAAGTCAGTTTCATTCATTTTGCAGCATTTTATTGATAATTAAAGGTCATTTAGCTTTACCTCGTCAGCAGATAGTTAAGAGCAGCAGTCCTCTCTTGTAGTCTATTATGTTAAACTGTATGACATCTGCTCGCTTTGTCATGCTCCTTGCAATCAGATAAGTAGAGGTTTAAGATAAATTTTGCATTGGCTCACATTGTACTACCAGACTGGTTTCATGTGAACTCTTTTTGTGGTTAAGCTAGAATGAATGCTGGGTGTAAGCAAATGTCTTAAAATGTTTTCACAACCTTAAAAATTAGCAACATTTTTAATGTCACTTAAACAACAATTATAGCAGTAAAAATGTAATCTGAAAGTGAAACATTATACTTTTTCACATACTGAGCTTTGACACTGACTTGAACAGACAAAAAGTTAATATTTAAAAATTTTAGCGCATTAGTTTCTTCTGAATCCACCTAGTATCTCAGTTGTTGCTATATTATAACACACTTTGCAAAACTATTAGCACAACTATTACACATAACAGAACCTGTTTTCTTATAAATACTCATCCATCAATTATTCATCCAGTCTGACCGATCTTTATCGCAAACTTCTTTGCCTTGTAGACAGATTAAATTAAAGCCATTTTTTAAAAGTTAGTTAATTTGTGTTCCATGTGGATATATGAATGGTGGTTTGTATATAATATAAAAAGAAAAATCAACCTTTACCAAAACTTCTTTACACAGCTACATTCACACCTGAAAATATCTTAAAAGTTTATTTTGTGACTCAGAAAGAGTAATATTAAAACTAAGTAGCTGCCGCCATTGTTGGAAACAAATTGGCTGGGCCGCGCTATGAATTCTGGGATAGATTGGGTCATGAAGGATGCACCGACTCGGCTTTCAAATATGACCTGCAAAGGATGCAGTCTATTTTTTTTGAGAAAAATAGCCTTACTTACTTACTTACTTGCAAAGGTTTTGCAAGATCTTGCGAAACTTCATCTTAATTTTTTTTTTCTCCCAAGGCCCTTTGCTAGGCTCCGTATGTTTGCACTTCCAATACTGGCGCAGTGTTTTGCTGTGACCAAAAAGATTTTTTGGTCACTAATTTGCTCTTTGGATTTTGCAGGACTGAAACTGTTAAATTTGTTAATCTCACATTTCACAACTGCACCTGTAAAAACAGCTGCTATCTGCTGTCAACTCTGGAGGTGGAGCTGTTAAAGTGAGTGACTGCTACTGAGAGTAATATTTTCTGACAATAACATTAGTAATCAGCAGCAGCAGCTGTTTAAAAATGAATCTAGAATATGGCGGTGCTGTGGAGGTTTTGTACAGAGGAATAGCAGCAAGTTCTTCTTCCACTGTTTGACCTGAAGGTAAAAAGTACTGGTTGACACATGTTAAGTCAAAGCTCTGCAGAAAACTCACATCACTGACAAAGTTTGAAACCTGATTAATCTTCCCAGTCCAATCCAGAGTTTGCCCTGACCTCTTTGGTGAAGCCCCGTTTAGGTTAGTTTCTGATCTGTATTGCAGTTTAACTGGAGCGAGTCAGACATTTGAAAACATCAGATCCTTACATATTCAACAATATCAGTGTTGAGAGGGACAGAGAGTGGCATGGCTGTGGATTGCTGACTAAAGAAATAAGTTATTCTTCCTCTAATTTCCCTCGATGGGCAGACAATAGCTTCCTAAGATCAATGTCTTATATTGAACCAAGAAACACGAGATGATCAACCACTGAAAAACACTGTGGACTCACAAACTGGATTTATACATTTTGTCTTTTTCTCTGCTCTTCTTTCCCGTGTTGGACTATAGCCTGCTACATTATAAAGCTAATTATAAGCTACATTATAACTTCTGAGAGAGGGGATGTGCCCACGATTAGGTTTAATTGTATTAGTATTAGTATGGATAATGTTTTCATTATACTACAATTATGATGAAAGATACATTTGGCATAATGAGGACTGCAGGATTTTGTACAGCTGCTTAAACAACTTCAGTCACTGTGGATTTCGAGCACAGTAATAAACAGCAGAATCTTCAGTCTTCAGACTGTTCATCTGCAGATACAGCTGCTGTTTGCTGTTGTCCTTGGAGATGGTGAACCGGCCTTGAACTGACTGAGAATAGGAAGTGCTGCCATCACCCCAGTATATGTAAGCAATCCACTCCAGTCCTTTTCCAGGAGCCTGTCTGACCCAGACCAGGCTGTAGTCTCCAAAGGTATATCCAGATGCTGTACAGGTCAGTCTGTGGGATTCTCCTGGTCTTTTAACTGCTGGTTCAGATTGTGTCAAAGTCTGGCCATCAACACCTGTCAACAGAAATAAAAAAAATCATGACAAAAAAGTATTATCATAAATTAAAAAAACATAAGAGCATCGGCAAAAAGTTTCACCTGCCCAGCAGACAGTTAAAAGTAGCAGTGCTGTCCAGTAGTCCATCATGTATAACTGTTCCTGCCCACTGTGCTGTCATATTCTAAGCAGTCAGACAAATAAATGTAGAAGACTATGGAACATTTGCATTGACTCCTCCTTAAAGGCAGGAAAAAACTAATAAGTCATTAACAATTGGTTCTAACTTAAAATGAACTACTGTATTGTGAAGTTACAAAAACCTCAGTGTGAAACCAGTAGTTTTTAGTGGTTCCAAATAAAAAAAAACCATTTACACTATAAAGCTATCTGCTGTAACGTGTTTGACTTTCAGGTACGGAGTGCTGCTGAGGACATCTTTAGTTCTGACAAAACTGCTTTGAGATGATCCAACAGCTGGAAGTGATTCTTTCAAGTTCTCAACTCAAGTGTATTTATAAAGCACATAAAACAACTCATGTTAACCAACGTGCTCTGCGAAATATAAAATGGGTAAAAAACATGAGGGAATGGAAAGTAAAATACATGTTAGTAGGTGCTAAACATATAGTGGCAATAAAGCCACAAAAGAGACGGTGGGCAATTCAGACTCATATGCCAATGAAAAAAAGTTTTGTGAGCCTTGTTTTAAAAGAATCAGTGGAGGGAGTAGATTTGACAGTGAGGGGAATGCTGTTCCACCTGTATCCGTTCAAAACACTTTCCTGACTTTGGCCATACTCTGAATTTTTTCTGTTGCAGCAAACCCAGATATGATATTTTGGGGGTCTTTTCAACATTTCATTTAACTCTCCAAACTTCTGTTGGAACAAATGTATCTATTATGGTTCATATTTGTTTTTAAATCATTGTTGTTTTGATGCAATAAAGATTTTTTTCTATTAAAAAGAAAAAAAGAAACAGCATATTAAATATTTCATTCTACACTCCAATCTAATATAGGCTATTGCATCTTTAAAAATATCACAGTCATTGTGGTTTACTAAGCATCGGCTTTCACAGTCTTCTGACTGCTGCTTTACAAATTTAACATAGTGAACTACAGCTACACTCACTGTTCTCTAAAGGGAGCAGCTTGACATTGACTGACCTCTAGTGGGGTTTTTATTTTTGCTTGTTTGTTTTGTTGTTGTTGTTTTTTTCCTGATACTTGGACAATGCATTAAGCAATTCAATTTACTGTACAAAAGTTGGGTGTTTTTTTGCTTTCTTTTTCTTTTTGCCTCATCTTTCTAAGATTAAATATTGCCAGTTTCAATAAAACCCACATAATCAGCACTGATTGTGATGGGATTTGTGTAGCTGTTAAATTAGCTCCAGTCACTGTGGCTCTCAAATAAAATCCAAAGTACAAATACAAGTACTACTACTGCTAATAATAATAATGAATAATATTGTATCATGATCACAAATAAACCAAATTGTATCCAGAGTACTTGATTTAATTTAATTTAATACTCCCTAAGGAAATTATGTCAGATAGCAAAAAGTATCAATTGTTGTTCAGACTAACAGTTTAATGAAAGTGTGAGTTCTGTGCTATTATGCTTCTTAGAGGTGCTTCACTCTGGGATACTCCAGGCCACCCTGTTCACACAAATGAATACACTGGTCATATTTACCATTTGTGCTGATTAGGATTATAAAATAACATATTTTGATTATAAGAATATCTTGGCCAAAATAACAGTTTTTTGCTTATAATATTGAAATAGCAAAAATTTAACAAAAGGAAAAAAAAACATTCAGGTTGCTCCGTAGTCAAATTCAGATTTAATGTGGTTGTGTGTGAGAGAGTGTGTGTGTGTGTGTGTGTGCAAGTGTCAGTGAGAAGAATTCCATAAGAAAGCAGATAATAAAATGAACCCCCTCTTTCAAGATTACTACAGATGAAATGATAAGTTTGATGAGTGTGTTGTAGTTTTGTTTCTTTTCTTCTGGGTGGAAAAGTTGTCACAGCTGGACATGGAAACAGTCAGTTTCATTCATTTTGCAGCAGTTTACTGATAATTAAAGGTCATTTAGCTTTACCTTGCCAGCAGATAGTTGAAAGCTGAAAGAACTGAAAAAAAAGAACTTCCAGAACTTCTCAGACAAGTCCAGAAGAGACACCTTAATAGTATTAGTAACAATAACATTAGTTTTAGTAATATCCTCATTACATTAAAATTAAGATGTTAAATACATAAACTGTAATTAGAATCATGCAAAGCTGTTCAAGCAGCTTCAGGCACTGCGGCGCTCGAGCACAATAATGAACAGCAGAATTTTCCAGTTGTTCATCTGCAGACACACCTGCTGTCTGCTGTTGTCTCTGGAGATGGTAAACCGGCCTCGGGCTGACTGAGACTAATAGATGATAGCACTGTCATGTCTGATTATTACAACTCAGGAACCTGTCTGACACAAATCATCTGGTAGTCACTAAATGTGAATCCAGAGGCTGTACAAGTCAGTCTGTGGGATTCTTCAGGCCTTTTAACCACTGGTTCAGACTCAGTCAAAGTCTAATCATCAAAACATATCAGATAAATTAAGAGAAAGAAAAAAAACAAAGAAAAGGGAAATAACACAGTTATAAAGTAAGTTGTATTTTTTAAGACAAAATGTAGTGGATTAGAAATGTATTTCCTTTCTGAGTAAGAACTTTGGTTCTTTATATCTAATAAAATAACTTCATTGTTGTTTTGACTGTGTTTCTGTAGAGAAAATGCAGTGGGAATCTAAAAGGAAATAAGTGGCAAGAGTTTGGCCTTGGATGATTGTGAGCTGTTCAATGAAGGGCAGTCAATCTGTACAGACAAGTGAAGGCGAGAGCTGCGTTTCAGTGTCTTCATTCATCTTTCCTCAATATTTCTCCCGTTTAAGGGCACAACAAAAACCACTAAATACTAGTGAAAACCTTCATCTGCCCAGCAGGGAGTGAAAAACAACAATTCTACAGTCCATCATACCAAAATGTGACTACTGATCACATTTTGATCAGTAGTCACATTTTGTCACATTCTGTCTCTAGAGTCAAATACATAGAAGTGAAAGACGTCTGAGTTTTGCATTACCTCCTAGTTTTACTAGTAGAAAATCACACTGTGATTAATAACATCCTTCGTTCTGTCACCTACAATAAAACACAGCACAGAAATCAAATAATAAAAAAGGTACATGATATAACACTTGAAAGTTACTTAAAATTGGACATTATTTGTACTAGCAAGTGCATTAACAAAAAAACAAAACAAAAACCCAAACTTAATCTTTAATTGACAGTGAAAAATCACCGAAAGCAAAGTTTCTGTTTGTCTGCTGGAAACAAAATGTATTGCCCCAAAATGACAGCTAAGAGGAACACTGAGTTCCGCAAGAGACATTGGAGAAAAAAATTGAAGATGTACTTAACTGTACCTAACTTTTTTGCAATCACAGCTAAATTCGCAGTCTGCTCATCTAGCTGTTATCTAAAGGGTGAGACTTCACTATGACTTCCCTCCAGTGTTCCAGAAAATGGAAACATTAGTTTTCACCCTAAACAGTGATTTTAGAATTCAAACAGTTTTACATCTCTGAATTGTGTTATTTTTGTGAGCAAGAGTCAGCTCTGTTAGGGTATGAGCAGGCTGGGTTATGTGTTATTGTTTTGTCCTTTGTGTTTTGTTCCGTAAGCAGGCGTTACCAGGGTGGAGCTGCCTCAGATGAGGACCTCAACTGTTCTGGATTGCTTTCATCAGTTCAGCATTTCTTAAGAGGCAAATTCCACCACATTGTACCTCTGTGGTAACACTTGTCTCCCCAATCCATTATTTACCATCTTTATTCCAAGCTTCCTGTTAAGCTATCTGTGTGTGATCTTCAGTGCCTGTTCTCAGACGTTTCACTGCCTCAGTTGTTTGGGCGCCACTGTCATCCTGCCTGCCAGCCCCCTCCCGGTCTCCCCGTTTCAGATTTTTCCAGAGAAGTCTGTGTCATTTCTGTCTGTTTAAATACACGGCTACTGTATATAAAGACTGCATTTACTTCAAACTCGTGTTTGTGAATCCGCACCCTGGGTTCAACCTTTGGCTTCAACCTTTGGCTTCACCTTGTAAGAGCTGATAATTGGTGTAATCACTGTCACATGTAACAGCAGCAAACCACTTCAGTTCTTCCATCCAAGATTTACTGAATGTGAACCCGTTGGCCATGATTGGCGGTAGAATAGCAGCATCATATTTTGATATTTTTTCAGAAGCCAGTTCTCAAGGCCTTTTATGGGTTCTGAATCAGAGTCTGACTGTAAGCACTTTTCAATTTATAAAAGAAAAGAAAACAAATTTGCTTTAACTTGGAAACTATATCAAGACAAAAACAAGTTAAAAGCAGCATCCCTGTCTTGTACCGCATATGATTAAAATTAAGTGAAAAAAATAGAGTCATGATATTGGCTGAAAAATAGAATACTCAACAAGCTTTGTATCTCATGCTCTCATTACAGATTCACAATTACAGCATGTGTGTGGTTATGTGTTGCTGGTTGCTGAGTATTTGCACAGGTCCGTAAGTGGTTTGTATTACTGTAACGTGCACAGTAATAAACAGCTGTGTCCTCAGGCTGCAGATGCTGTCCTGTTATTGTAACTGTTTGAGCAGAAGTGTCTCTGCTGATGCTGAACTTGCTTTTAAAAGCATCATTTTGGTAAGTGCCCCCACTAAACCATATGTAGAAAATCCATTCCAGTGGTTTTTCTTCAACTTGTCTGATCCAATCTAAATGATTTATTTAATTATTTAGGATTTCTGTTGTATTCAGTAGCGTGAATTGACCAAAGCGTCTCACATGATGACAAAGCCAGCAGCAGTGTGAGCTACAGAGAACATGGTTGATAATGAAGTTGAACTGAACCAATGTGAGCTCTTCTGTCCTCTTATACATCAAAGTTATGAAGAAATGCATTATGTCCATTTGAACAAAGGGACTGTACATCTGCAATTCAAAAATTTAATAATGAAATCGACAAACTGAATACAGATTGAAAATATGTGAATTTTCTCTACTTCTTTTTTGTATTCATAATATTCTCTGGTTTAAAATGATTTTTGTTTTCT